TCTATATAAGTGAGTATATACCGTGTTTGTCTTTCTCCTTCTGGGATATTTCACTCAGAATGATCTTTTCTAGATCCCACCATTTGCCTGCAAATTTCATGATTTCCTCCTTTTTGATTGCTGAATAGTATTCCATTGTGTAAAATACCACAATTTCTGTACCCATTCCTCTGTTGATGGACATCTGGGTTGTTTCCAAGTTCTGGCTATTACAAATAAAGCTGCTATAAACATGGTTTAGCAAATATCCCTTTTGTGTACTTGAGCAAACTTTGGGTATATACCTAGCAGTGGTATAGCTGAATCTTGATGAAGCACTATTCCTAATTGTCTTAGAAAGCGCCAGATAGATTTCCAGAGTGGTTGTACCAGTTTACATTCCCACCAGCAATGGAGGAGGGTTCCCCTTTCTCCAAAACCTCTCCAGCATGTGTTGTCCCTTGAGTTTTTCATCTTGGCCATTCTGATGGGTGTAAGGTGATATCTCAGGATCGTTTTGATTTGCATTTCCCTGATGGCTAATGAGGATGAGCATTTCTTTAAGTGTTTCTCTGCCATTCGATATTCCTCTGTCGAGAATTCTCTGTTTAGCTCTGTTCCCCATTTTTTAATTGGATTACTTGGTTTGCTGCTTTTCAGCTTCTTTAGTTCTTTGTGTATACTCGATATTATGATCTGAAATGTTTTACAAAATATTACGAAGAAAAAAAAGAACAGTCATCATGCACTAGTTCCCACAGGTGATAAACATGCCATTCTTTGCAACTCTTCGTCAAACTCTCTCCTTCAAGTGTCCTTTCTAGTACCCAGTATGAATCTGTATAATTTTAAGTGATGATCATTGTGAGGGAGCAAACACATTTCTGTCTTCAAAAATGGAAAAATGCACAAGTATGTAATCTAAAATACGATGTTATAAAAACTTAGTAAAGCTATTATTTGATCAAATTATTGTGTATTCATGGTGATTATTAAAATTTATATTTGATACACACTTTAAATAAATGATGAACAGATTTTCCTTATATATGCACTGGTAAAGTGCATATTACGAAAGTGTTTTTGGAATGGGTTGTGTTTTTAACAATTTTATCTTTTACAATGTATCATTTGGATTTTTTTTTTTACTTTTTTTGTTAAAAGAATTTCCATCTTTATTTTATAGAACAAAGTTTCTGCTTAAGATGGAGAGCAGATAAATAGATAAAGTAAGTCCTCCGGTTCTCCTCAGACTCCTGTACTCATTTGGAGTCCTGCTCTCTGAGTGTTTCCACGGTCTTGAGTCTGTAACTCCACTCTGCAGATGCCTGTGCAGCCATGATTCATGATTCATGGAAGTCACTCTTCTGTCTGCTAGAATATGCATATTTTCCGTGTGCATTAATGAGATCGCCCTCACTTTCTGACTGTAGATGTGATCCTTGTATTCTTTTTAGTTGCTATGTTATATCACAGGAAATCTCACAAGGGCTTTACCAGTAACAAGAATCTCAGTTAGAAATTATATCTTATACTCTGAAATATTTTATGGCCTGTGGTATTTCTTTGTTATCTGTTGACTCTAACTCACTGTAGAACATGTTCTTTAAAAAGTTGCCGCTTCCACCAACATAGGCACACAGTGCGGTCCCTTCTTGCTGTTTGAAGCATGTCATTTTGGAGACACGCAAAGTATGTAGTTATAAATTCTAAACTGGCAGCAAGTCTCTTTCCACAGGAGGGTAGGGATTGAGCTCACACTCTAGCTCCCCTGTCAGAGCTTTCAACTTTAATACACAGTCTGTGTTTACTTCTGACCTCCTTGGAGAATTATGTTTATATTTTGACATAAACAACACCACCACATATGCAGTGAATAGCTTTAATCTGACACACAGGCAATGATCATTTTACTCTCAAATCCTGTAACAAAGACCAGCGACTTATAGAAAATCTGTGAGCAAGATGGCAGAGCATCTGTCTTTCTGATTGTGGCTAACTGTAGTTTATAAGGTGCTCTCCGGTTCAATTTATGTCTCATGAATTGCACACTTTGCTTGTTATGGATGTTGAGTTCTCTCCTCTGTTACACACATTCTTTGTAAATCTATTGATGTGCATTTGGATCATGCTTTTGACAATCTAAATAGTATTTCAGTGATCATTGAGTTATCACGCAGACAACGCTGATTGACATGTACTCTCTTTTAGTTTCTGGATAATATAATGCAACTTTTTTTGGAAAAAATTCTCATTAACCTTATTTTTTTAATTTTTAATTTTTGTATTTCTTTTATATTCTTGTTGTAGCCCAATCCCTTCTCTCCTCCCAGTCCCACCTTCCCTAATTCTTCATCTCCCATCTCCTTTTTCTCAGAAAAGAGGAGCTCCCTTTCCCATCCAGTCCAGCTCATCCAACTGCACCAAGACTGAGCATGTCCTCTACCCCTGTGGCCTTGCAAGACAGTAGCTCCAGGGGGAAGTGATCAAAAAACTGGCAAGTGAATCCATGTCCAATGTGGTCCCCACTTCCCTTACTAGAGGACCCACATGAAACCTAAACTGCCCATCTGATACATCTTTGTAGAGGACCTATGTCCATTTACTGTATGGCTGCATTGTCCTTCTCTGTTGCCTGGCAAGGCTGCTCTCCACTCAGAGGGGGGAGGGGATGCTCAAAGAGCATACTACTGAGTTCATGTCAGAGACAGTCCCTGTTCCCATTATTAGGGAACTCACTTGGATACCGAGCTGCCATGGGCTACATCTGAGCAGGGGTTCTAGGTTATATCCATGAATGGTCCTTGGTTGGAGTATCAGTCTCAGAAAAGACCCCTGTGACCAGATATTTTGGTTCTGTTGCTCTCTTGTGGAGCTCCTGACCTCTCCAGGTCCCACTCTCTCTCCCTTCTTACATAGGATTCCCTGCACTCTGCCCAAAGTTTGATTAAAAGTCTTAGCACCTTTTTTGATACACTGCTGGGTAGAGTCTTTCAGAGTCCCTCTGTGGTAGGCTCCAGTCCTGTTTCCTGTTTTCCCCTTCTTCCAATATCCATCCTTTTTGTCTTTCTGAGTGAGGGTTGATCATCTTACCTAGGGTCTTCCTTCTTGGTTAGCTTCTTTAGGTGTATGTTTATCCTATACTATAGGTCTAGTATCCACGTATAAGTGAGTATATACCATATTTGTATTTTTGTTTCTGGGATATCTCACTCAGGAAGATATTTTCTAGTCCCATCTGTTTGCCTGAAAATTTCATGATTTCCTTGTTTTTAATTGCTGAGTAGTATTCTGTTATGTAAATGTACCACAATTTCTGTATCCATTCTTCTGTTGAGAGACATCTGGGTTGTTTCCAGGTTCTGGCTATTACAAATAAAGCTGCTATGAACATGGTTGAGCAAATACAAATATGTTGCTGGTCACCACCATCTTGTATCTCTATTTTTTTGGGGGGTGGCTTATGAAGGCACTTTGTTTTGTTTTGCTTTGGTTTAGTTCAGTTGCTGAGATTTTGAAGTTTACTATACATAGTGAATTTAAACTTTTTGTTCTAAGCTTAGTTTACAAATGGTCTCTCTGTTGTAATACAAACTTTTCTCTGGGGACACAACACATACCCAAGTTACTCAGCCCAGGAAGGAAACCTATTATCCACTAAGGCATCTAGTGCTCCAAAGTCAAACTAGTAGTATCAATATAATTTTACTTATTGAGTAATTACAAAGAGTTCGGTGAAGAATTACAGGAACAGGAAGTAGCTGAAAAGCCCAAGCCAGTGCAAGTGAAGACTCATGAAAGCTGCAACCCAGCACTCTCTGCATAACCAGCTAGTAGCTCACTCTACAGGTTCAAGACTATGCTATGGCTTTTCAGAGTCTTGCGTCCAAATAACTGTTTCCTTTTCTCTAAAAAGCTTCAAGGGTTCTTACAGAATTTTCCAAGTCTCTGTTTTCACAGGTACATTTTGTTTACTATTTGAGTTTCCTGAGCCTCCACCTCCATTTTAGAAGGGATATTTCAAATCAGAAGAAACTGCTCTACAACTTATCCCAATGCAGTAGTTGTTCTTTTCAGTAATTCCTTTCTTATACAAGCAGAGTTGTGTGAGTCATTCCAAATATGACACACAGCAGCTGTAGCTATTGGCCTGAGACCCACACAAGATCAAAGTAATTAACACTAAAACATGGATTTGGTAGGGGCTCATGAAGTCTCCAATTTAGCAAACTACTAGAGGTTAATGTCTCTTGGGAAAGAGAAATTTTTCTTCAAGAATATGATTCCTGGTACATTGTTCACATTGTTCAAGCTCTGGTTGGATGCCACTCATCCATGACATATAAGGGTACTATTTTAGCTCAATGGTCTTTTAAAAAAGAGGAGGAAGAATAAAGTTGTGAGGGTGATGTTTTGGGGTATTCTAGGAGGAGTTAGAGGTGGGCCTTGGGTTGTATATGACAAAAATAAACTGATAACGTCTAGAAAAATTTTCAATGAAGAATTAACAAATATTTTAAAGCGTAATGTTTCAGCATCACATATGAAATAAATTAATTAGTATTTTTAATAATTATTTTTCATTTTTATCCATAATTATGTACAGATTTAAGATATGATATATTGGTTCACACACATGTATATCGAATAAATCATATATATCACCTTAAACTTTTACTATTACTTCAGAGTGAGTGAATTAAACATCATTCTCATTTTTTTTGAGATCTGTAATATTTATTAATTTTCTTCACATACTAAGTGAGGTAACAATCAAGAAATGAAATATTCTTAACCAGGTATGCTATTAAGTAACATACTTCAACCTATGACAATAAAAGGTAAGAGAGTACTTGAATTTTTCACAAAATAAAAGATAAATATAAGCTTTTTCTATTAGAATCAAACTCAATTTCAACTCCATTTTGCAATATGAACTGTATTAATTTTAATAGAATCCATTAAATCAACCTTTATAGATACACTTTACGCACTCAGCAAACACCACTGACATAATATCCTTAAGAAGAAAAGACTTTAGTATCTATTATTTTTCTAACTGTGTCCTTGACATCCTTGTTTCTCAGACTGTAGATTAGGGGATTCAGCATGGGGATCACCACTGTGTAAAACACAGGGGCCACTTTGACAGTTTGCCTGGAGTTCTTGGAGTTGGGTACACAGTATAGAAATAGTATGGTCCCATGGAAGATGGTTATGGCTGTCAGATGGGAAGCACAAGTGGAGAAGGCTTTGCGGCGGCCACTGGCTGAATGCATCTTCAGAATGGTAACAACAATGAGCACATAAGACAAGATAATGATAAGGAGTGTGCTGACCTCATTAAAAGTAGCAAAAATGAAAAGCAACAATTGACTGACAGAAGTGTCAGAGCATGAAAGTGAAAGAAGAGAGGAAAACTCACAGAAAAAGTGGTTGATGATGTTGAAAGCACGAAAGGATAAATTCAAAGCAGAACAGGTCAGTATTAAGGAGCATACTAACCCCCACGCATAGGATGCCAACACCAGCATGGCACAGAGCCTCTGGGACATGGCTACTGTGTAGAGTAGAGGGTTGCAGATGGCCACAAACCTGTCATAAGCCATCACTCCTAATAAAAGAGATTCAGTTACCACAAAAGTACAGAAAAAAAAGAATTGCACTAAGCATCCTACACATGATATGGTTCTGTCTACTATAACTAAATTTACCAGCATCTTGGGAGCATGATGGAGGAAGAGCAGAAATCTACAAAGGAGAGGTGGCTGAGGAAGAAGTACACGGGGGTGTGCAGTTTGGAGTTAATCTTGATTATGACAGTCATGCCAATATTCCCCACCACGGTGATGCTGTAAATAAGGAGAAACATGAGGAAGAGAGGGAGCTATGGGAGGGATACAAAATGAATAAAGTGTAATTAATAATAATAATAATAAAAAGAAAAAAATTTACCCTCCATCAGAAAAAAAAGGTGTAGAATTATAGGCAAAAATAAGGCATTCAGTGGCTTTGCTTCTAAAAGCATAATTTTTGCCATTTGAGAAAACACATTTCAATACTAAAGTTGGACTCAATATGTTGTTTGGTTGTTGTTTAATGGCACAATTTCTTTCTTCAGTATTGTTATCTTACAAGTATTTCATTCACTGGGTTAGAGTTATTCCAAAATATTTTATATTATTTGAGGCTATTGTAAATGATATTGTTTTCTTGATTTCTTTTTCAGTGCATTTGTCATATATGTATAGGAGGACTACTGATTTTTGTGAATTAATTTTGTATTGAACTACTTTACTGGAAGCATTTGTCAGCTATAGGAGTTTCCCAGTGGAATTATTTAGGCCATTTAAATATACTATCCTACCATCTTCAAATAAAGATACTTTAAGTTCTAATTTTATTCCCTTGGTCTTTCCCAGTTGATTTATTGTTCTAGCTAAGGCCTCATGTACTGTATTTAATAGGGATGGAGAAAGTGGTCAGCTTTGTGTTGTTCCTAATTTTAGTGAAGTTGCTTTGAGTTCCTCTTCATTTAAATCAGTGTTGGCTATGGGCTTAATGTACACTGCCTTATTATTTACTTTGTACCCCATCCATAGCCCCCTCCCTGTTTCCCTCCCAATCCCACCCTCCTGCCCTCATCTCCTCCCTGTCTCTTTCCAAGTCCACTGACAGGGGAGGACCTCCTCCCCTTCCATCTGACCCTAGCTTATCAGGTATCTTCGGACTGGCTGCAAGGTCCTCCTCTGTGGCCTTGCAAGGCTCCTCTTCCTTCAGGGGTTGGGGAGGTTAAAGAGCCAGCCATTGAGAAAAAAATATTTTCAATTAAGTGGAAAAAAAAATCTGGATGAAATCCCGATTGGCATTACATGTGACACTCAAGTTAAAAGTACGAGTTGAAATTTAAAAAGTTTTGTTACAAAAAGAAGAAGAAGAAGAAGAAGAAGAAGAAGAAGAAGAAGAAGAAGAAG